CTCGGATGTTATATTTTCGAGGAAAATACTTCACGCCAAAGAGGGCCTCGATAGGAGAACTTTGCAATGGGCCAAATGGTCAGATGATCAGTGTCCATAAAGAATAATCGAGCCCCAACGCAAAACATGTACGCATGTATCAATTATTTAAAGAAGCATCCTTTCTATATCAACACACTTTTGTGTCTCAAGAAGTCTATACGAGCTCTACACTTATAAGTACCAAGGGCCAGAATGCAAATACACCCCGAATACCCGGGGAATATCATCGACAGCCAACACATCCGAGTCATTAAGAACTCGAACTCATAAGACCACAAAGAGGCATCCCCTCGATATAATGGCTAAGGCCATCATACTCGGGGACTAACACTTCGAACAAGTTCGAAGGGTTATCGGGAAACAAGTCTAAGAGACGTACCCAAAGGCTACGACCATATTAAAGACTACAGTCATATAAAGGCTATGGCCGAAATAATGCGGCTCGGAGACGTCCGACTTCCGCCATAAATCACAGGCCTTCAAACACTTTGAAAAAACCAGTTAAATCAGGCTACCCTTGACAAAAGCAAAAGATAAAAGGCTTCGATAAAATTAGCCCTCATATAATTTAAAGGCTTCGATAAACATCAGCCTTCGAAAAAACCTCAAGAGAGTATTCGATTATCGTCACACAAACAAATTACAAATGGGGTTCCGATCGGAAGAACCTTCGAAAAATCCAACGGGTACAAAAAACACATGCTAAGGCATAGAAAAAATTTTACTGTCTATTAGCCGAAAAGAGGGAAATATTATAGCCGCTTTAGAGGCCGAATTGGCCCAAAGTAAAGAGCCTAAGGGCCGACCTAAAAGAGCCTAAGGGCCAAGATATATAGGGTTCGAGACCTCGCTCGGACTCAAGAGTCCCGACATCTCGAGCTCGCGTCAAACCAATTTAAGCCTAGCTCGAGGATTAACAAAAACCTTAAGAGCTATTATATTTATCAATAAAAAACCTAAGGGTTTATTATGTTCTGAGTTCAGGCCAATACTCGGACTGATCATAAAAGTTATAACATCAAATTTCTTTCACAAATAAAGACGAGATGGAATTCGATACAAATCGAAGATGAAGCAAAGAGATCCTTTTATATTCATAAGGGGAATTTACAAAGGATATTTACAACGACCCCGAGGGGCCCTTAAACAAAAACAAAAACAAAAAAGAACCTAATCTATTTCGTGGCTACATCTCCGGAAGCAACATCCTCAGGAACTGCATCCTCGGGAACTCTATCTTCGGGAACCTCCTTCTCCTCAGGGACTCCACCTTCGCCTTCCCTGCCCTCAGAACCACTCACAACATCTTCATCATCAGAAGAAACAAGAAACCTGGCATCGGTTTCCAACGCCTTTGCTTGGGCTATTTCTTCAGTAAGGTCAGAACCTCGAGCGTGGATTTCTTCGAGAGTCTCCCTTTGGGCTTGGCACTTGGCCAAATTGTTACTCCATTTTTCCCGGTCGGAGCCTCCCTCAGCTCCGCTTGAACAGCCTCGGCATCCCTTAAGTTTACGGCGATGGTCTTATCAGTTGTAGCCTTCGTCTTCTCAATTTCAGCATTGGCTTGTGCAGCTTCAGTCTCGGCTTTCGCAAGCTCTTCCTCAAACTCCACAATTTTTCTGGCCTGGGCTAGACTCTTCATTTTAATGCCTCGGAGTTGAGTTTCAGCCAAGGCCAGTTGGATTGTAACAGCTTCCTTATCGGCAGCAAGTCGATCCATGTTCTCTTTCCATCAGTGGCAGTCAGTCTTAACTTGATCAACCTCGCCCCGGAGCAGCCCAATCATCTCCAACTTTTGTTGCAGCTGAGAAATCGAAGTGTTAGCCTCCGAAGTAAGCCCAAGAAGACCGTACTCTGTTAAAATCACAGTTACCTGCTCGTCTAGCTTGGCCTCGTTTCTTTGAGCTTTGTCCAAGTCGGCCCGAAGATCCTTGAGCTCCTCCTCTTTTTGGCTACAAAGGAGCCTCAAGGCCTTCTCTTAACCCGAAGCTTTCTTGAGCTCGGCCTCACATTGACCCAAATCGGCCCTGAACTTGGTAACAGCCTACACAAAAGACAAAGAGATGTTAGTTAACATAGAATGGGAAGAAAATAAGGAATTTTTTTTTGCAACAATGGAAATTAGTGCTTACCCGAGAGAAGAGACGCTGATCCTCTTCAAAGAGGGTGGATGCATCGTTAAGGTCAACGGCATCATCAACCCCGGTGAAATAGTCCCAAAAAGGGACTTCTTCGAGAACCTTGCTCGGGACGGGCGTTGGTAGAGCCCGGGCATCCTCTATTGCCTCCTCGGAGTAACATGGTAGAGAAGGTGAGTGACCCATTGTCACGGCCCCGAGCTCCTCACTCGGGGTGCTCTGATTAGCATCGGCCCTCTCAGCACTTGTCCCATCCAGTGTATTTGTTGAAGAAGGAGGAACGATCTCAATCTCGGGAGACTCGAGGGTTTTACCCAAGTCTTTCTTCGGAGTTCCTTCACCAGAAGGCAAAGTTTCAGGTTCAGCAGGTTTGGCGGCTTCGACTGGTTTCCTAGTTCGGGGCACCATCGCCAACTCTTCGCCCTCGTTCTCCTCATCCTTCGGGAGTTGGATGGCAGAATCCAACTCCACATAGGTAGGTTTCTTCCTTGACTTTCGAGTAGGGGCCGCCTCATCCTGGGATCTTCGGGCTTCGAAGCCCTCTTTCTTTGTTGTGTTTCCCCGATTTCGGAATCGAGGACTCGGTCCCTTCCCCAGGCGGTGGCTTCATTCCGGAGACATCTCCGATGCCTGCACAAATAAACATAAATGAGATGACATCAACAGTAAAATAAAGGTATCAAAGCTTAGGAAGAGAACTTACCATGATGTTTGGCCTCCCATTTTCCCCTCGATAAATCATGCCATTTGCGCTCATCATACGAGAAGGTCGCAGCTAACTTTCGAACCCAGTCCTCGAGGTCAGGGATAGCGTGAGGCATCCAAGCAGCTGCTGCAGAAAAGGTGGAAACATTATGGAACACGGAAGCAAAAGATGAATAGGTATTTGGAAAGGAACTCTACTTACAGTTAAAGTTTCATCTCTCCGGGAACAGCATTGTTTCCCTAGGGATGACATCCGAAGTCCTCACTCTGATGAACCGGCTCATCCAGCCTCGATCTTTGTCTTCATCGTTACTAGCAAAGAAGGCCTCCCTTGTTCGACGTTGCAGGTTGATGAGCCCTGGAAACAGTTGGGGCTGATACAGCCGAATGAGATGGTTGAGGGTAAATTCCAATCCCTCGGCCTTAACGCAGTATGATCACAATGCGCCAAAAGGAGGGATATATTTGGCCGAGTGTAACCTCGTATCATTTGCAAAAATCGATCACTACCGGATCTAGGGGACCCAGTGTGAAGGGGTAAGTATAAACACTTAGAAAACCCTCTATGTGGGTAGTGATGCTTTCCTCGGGCCCTAGGATCTGAACCACGACCTCGTCTCCCCGGTTGCAGTCCTTCTTCATGGCTTTGAGGTATTTCTTCGATATCGAAATGATGTATCGAGATACATGTTCGCACCGGCTTGGGATATCGGGAGTATTTTCGATAATAAAATCCTTCTTTATCACACAAGGACCGGGGGTGATTTCGTGAAGAGCCGGCGGCACCACCGGTTTGGCCGGCTGGGAAGTAGAAGAAGACGGTACTTTTTCATTTTGAGGGACTATTTTAGAAGTTTTCGCCATGATTTTGGATTTCAAGATGCAGAAGACGGCGGAGCATGGCATTTTCCGTCACTAAGAAGGCGGTAGAAGCAGATAATAAAAGGAAACAGATGAAGAGAGAAAGGTATAGAGGGGGTGGTTTGAAGATTGAAGTAAAGCTTTCTCGGAGGTTAGACCTTATATTTATAGATGGGCGGCGACGATTTAGCGACACTAGTGGCCGACCATTACTGGCATGCATTAAATGTTTTGGGGAAGCGAACCGATGTGACATTTCAGTCACTTCGAGAGTTTATGTCACGGGGATGACGTCATCATCAAGGGCTCCGAAAATCGAGGTTCAAATCGTTTCTTGTCATTTTATTCTAAGAAACGCGGGGACTATCTGTATACGGTCAAAATCAGGTGCCCCCGATTTAGTAGGCTCGAGACGTCGCATCGAGGGCTGAAGTTCGATAAAGACCAAGCTCGGGCTCGAAGGCAGAATAAGAGGCTCGAAGATCCAAGTGTTCTAGGAACATCGGAGCCAAGTATGACCAACTCCGAGATAGTGCCGTTATGGGTTTGTTACAGAAGGACAAGATTCTCGCCACGTCCCCAAGATCATGGCGTAAATTCCGGAATTGATTTGTACAAATTAGTACAAATCCGTACTAGGCGGTTATACAACTGTCCCAATAAGATTCTTTACTGTAAATAGAAATGTACCTTATTTAGGGCTCCCCTCATATATGAAGGGGACCCCAATCATTTGTAAGGATCATCTAATCATTGGCAAAGAATATACGTACTATCTTACTTTCTCGCTTATTGTTCATCAGAATTGTCCTTTAGCGCTATTGATCTTACTTTATTATTCTTACTTTATTATTCTTGACTCATCTCGAGGTCGATACTGCCTACTAACTTGTCTACTGGTTTGGTCTTGCTTATTTCCTTATCTATACTTCATATTTCTTGATTATTAATTGGTATTAAACTAAATCACGTATCTTTAAAATCACAAATCAAATTTAATTGTTACTCGAATTTTGAGGTAAACAGACTTCCACTAACATTTTCTTTACTTTTAGTGCAAATACTCTATTTTTCAACCTTCTTGTGTGTGATTATGATTAATGGCTTGTTTATATTTACAAAAAATTTATTCCATTTGATTTGACAAATATTATTTCTTAATATTGCTTTTGCACCAAGTAACGTCGTGCGTGTGGACTGTGGACCCAAATCCAGAACTCAAAAGTACCCAAAAAAAATCCCGAGAGATTAAAAAGTAGTCTAAAATCAAAACATTCTTCCCAAGAAGCAAACTCTTCAATTCTCTTCTCTTCCACTCTCCCTCATTTCCAGCCTCCCCTTTTCTTCATGTAAGTTTCTCCTCCTCCTTCAATATCTTTCTCTTGTTGTCATTTGCTTGAATATATATTCTGTCTTTTCTTTTATTTAGTTTTGTTTTTATCAGCGTTGGGTTTTCTTGAACTGGATATTGATTAAGAAGCAAATTTGCTTCCTTTTTTGCTTTTTGGATAAGTGGGGTATTCATATGTGTTTTTTTCTCTTTTATGTGTGTGTCACATTGTTTACTTATATATGTAATTGGCAACTCTGTTTTGTGATTCTATATTCCTCCGCAACTAAAACTAAAAGGTTAGTGGTGAAGCGTGATCGGTCTAGTGTCATTAGTTCATCTCCGACCAATGGCTCGTTAGAGTAATTTATATTCATATGTATTTTCCTTGATTTAGTCTATTTTCTTTAAAGGAAAGCACTTCCGCTACAATGTTTCCCTAATGGTTTTAATCTCTGTCAGTGGCGGACCCAGGATTTTGTGCAAGCGGGTTCAATCTTAGAAGTACAACTTTAGTCGTAAAATAGTAGTTGTCAAGTGGGTTCAAATAAAATATTTATACAAAATTTATGCAGCTTCAATCGTAATTTATACATATACACAATATTATTTTTTGACGAAGCGGGTTCACTTGCCACCATGTGCATCCGCCACTGATCTCTGTTCGTGCCACTAAAGGGTGAACTAGAAATGCTTAACTGAAAGGCTCAAACAGGTACTTTAGACCTGGTAAAAATACGCTTGTGATGTGTGTGTTAGGCACATGTCACGGGTTCAAACACGAAAGCCTAGTAGTTGAGGGAAGCAGAGTAGAGGGGAGGGCCCATTATCCACCAAGTTCTGATTCAGGCGCCTCTTGCCTTCGGGGATTTCTCGGTTATCAAAAAAAAGTTATGCTACTTGGGAGTGTGACACAAGGCCTCCCCTCTTTGCTTGAGAAGGGGAGGAATTTTTGGCTTAAGCTCTACGAAACTTGCGGATGCTTCACCATAGAATAGATCGATCCAGTTCCCGTTCTTTTGCGGTGCACTCGCTTTATATCTCCGACACACAAGGAAGGACGCGGTGGAAAGTGGACCTGTTGCAGGAGTTTGGAGCGATGAGATTTCTTAGGGGTAAATTTGACGGTAGAATCTTGCAGGTTGAGCTAATGAATTACACATCAAAATCTAAACTAGTCGGGGTAGAGTATATGAATTCCCTGTATCTATTCTACTCAATTTGGACACATTTTCCAGCTATCTCGGTATTTAGATGCAAGATATAAAGTCTATTTCCCTTTCTTTAAAAAAAAACAAGATTCTTTTTTAAGTTGACCATCAGCATATCATAACCCTCTTCCTTTTATGCTAATTTGAGATTAGAAATGTTTTTCCAAAGCTCACATATGCGGTGTCTTAAAACTACACGAGGAATGTCTATGCTATCATTGATCGTAGTACTACTCTCGAAAAGCAGTATTACCACTATACAACAAATGTTAAATATTTACTGACCACTTTATAGTCAACTATGTGATTAGTTTACTCATATATGTTTCCCTAGCCCAAAGGCCTCTACTCTCAGGGAGAACCAATTGAGTGGCTTTTAATCCTACTTGAACAATAATCTCTTTTAGGCTAGCGTTTGGCTATTTCCATTTGAAGTAATTTTGCTGTGATCTTTCCTTAGTTATTCCTTGTGTAATCCTACATCTAGTTTTACATCTCTTCTCTTTTGATGCAGATCAATGACTATAAATGTGGTCATAATCATCGTCTGAAAGCTTTAGTTCCATGCCTCTAAGTTACAAATACTATGTCTTTCTCACTTTATAATTAGGCCTGACACCAAATTTCCTCCACTTATCCCTGTCCATGGCCACTCTTTCCCCTTTGTCCTCTCCCTTTCCACACCCAAATACTAGTTCAAAGCTTCAGTCTCCAATGCTGCAACCTTTTTTAGAGCAAGTAGAAGCACACCAACATCAGCTGCAGCCACAACAAGCTGCTGTTGAACAGGTTGATGATGAGCCTCTTCATGGTTCGTCTATCCAAAGCCCCGAAGTAGGTGTTTGTTCAAATCATTCATCTGTCAATCATTCGTCAACCGCATACCACGTTTCGTTCAATCAAGACTGCAGCTGTTTTGCTATCGGCACTGATCGTGGTTTTGGAGTATTTACCTGTGACCCTTTCTGTGAGTCCTTTTGTCGATACTGTGAAAATATAGGTGGCATTGGAATTATTGAAATGCTCTTCCGCAGCAATATATTAGCCTTTGTTGGACGTGGAGACCATCCACAGTATCCTCGAAACAAGGTCATGATTTGGGATGATAACCAAAGCCGCTGCATCAGTGAGCTCTGTTTCCGGTCGGAAGTGCGCAGGATCAGGCTTCGGCAGGACTGCATTGTGGTAGTGCTTGAGCAGAAGATATTTGTCTACCACATTTCTAATCTGAAGTTGTTGTTTCAGATTGAAACAACTGCGAACCCAAAGGGGCTCTGTGAGGTTTCACAAGCTGCTAGTCCACTTGTATTGGTATGCCCTGGTCTGCAAAAGGGTCAAGTTCGGGTTGAACATTATGCATCAAAAAGCACAAAAGTTATTGTAGCACATGACTCAATGCTTGCATGTTTTGCTCTTACGAGGGAAGGCAACCTGCTGTCAACAGCAAGCACCAAGGGTACACTAATCCGGATTTTCAGCACGCTAGAAGGTACATTGTTGCAGGAGGTAAGGGATTATTCTCATCATTATTTCAGTTTATTCTATATTACACATTCTTTTATTACAAAACCTGAAGTAATAGCAGCATTTCTGTTATTATGTTTTCCCTTGTCGGGCCAAAGTAAGAATAGTTAATGGAGACATTCTTACATGGGTTTGAATTTTTTTGTTTTGCTGTTTTTCGGGAAGTAGTGTTCTCCAGTTGATGTTAGTTAATGTGCCTCACCTATTGTCAGTCTTCCTTTATCCTGTTCTTATGATCATTCAGAATGACGCCTGATTGGCTAATCATCCATATCACATTGTACAGTTGTTCACCAACTTACTGGACCATGTTTCACGTGCTCCATGATTTCCTCATTAGTTTTTACCTTCAGCTTGCAGCATTCTCATATTTTCAACCTACCATTTGGTCTCTCACCCTTTTAACCTCTTGAAACAAAAACTAATTTGATAAGGTTTGTTAGTTCTTGTTTTTCTATCTTGAATGAGTTTTTCTCCCATAATTACAAGAGCAATTTCTACATTTTGTAATCCATAGTATGGTGCTGGACATACTTTGATAAAGAGTGTACGGTTGAACTGTTTGATGGCTTTCTATTTCTTCTTGGCCTGCCTAACAGCATTTTACATGCTTGTCTTTTGCTAAATTACGTATGATTCAGGTAAGGAGAGGCTTGGATAGAGCAGAAATATATAGTGTTTCATTCTCTCCAACTGCTCAGTGGCTAGCTGCCTCCAGCGACAAAGGCACTGTTCATGTCTTCAGCCTCAAGGTCAATCTAGTGAACTTGAGTACTAACAAGTCAAATAGTTCACCCCACTCCCGTGTTCCTGTGGTGGCCTCTAGTTCACTCTCTTTCATCAGAGGTATTTCCAAAGCAGATTTAAGGTTTATAGTTTATATTTTTAAATCTTAGATGGGTATCCGTTCATACTCAATAAAATTATTTGGCATTTTAACATAGATATTTATAAATCCTGTTAAGCAATAAAAAATGTTGTTTGTAAGTTGTTACTCTTTCCCTAGGAACATGACCTTTATTTCCTAATTTTCATGCATCTTTTTAAATAGTGAGCATATTCTACAACATGCACTTCATATATATGGGTATTGCAATAACTACCATTGAGAGCAAACTTTTGTTTCTTGCAAGGACACCTTACCTCTACACCATCCATTTTCGTTATTTGTCTATTCATCACATCCTCTTATTCCAGTCATCCATGGAGTATAATAGTATAATATTATTTACCTTCTCATTTATAGTGATGAATCATAAGGGGCTGAATTGTGAATGCCACAGTTTTTACTTCTGTTCAGGCTCTTGAGTTCCTGCTTAATTTTTTCAGGAGTTCTTCCAAAGTATTTTAGCTCAGAATGGTCCGTGGCTCAATTCCGACTTCCTGGAGTGTCTCAATACATTGTTACGTTTGGTAACGAAAAGAATACGCTGATAATTCTTGGCCGGGATGGAAGGTTAGTTAACACTTGCAAGAACTTATGTCTACTATAATATAATCTTCTTTGCATTGTTTGCCACCTAAAAATTTGATTTCTGTCATTGAGAATAATTATATTTGTTTTGTTTTTGAAATACAGTTATTTGAATTTGGATTTGACTGGTTTTTGGTTGGTTTTTAGGATAAAAATTTCATCAAAACCTTAAAAAGTTTTAAAGCTTTCATAAAACTAACTAAACATGTTTAGATACCTAATACTGTGATACACATCTTTTCGAACAAAAAAGTTTTGTTAGAAGATGTTGAAGACATTGTTAAGTAAACAAAAGTGTTGTAAGTTACTCTCCTTTTGGTTATTAAAAAAACTAAATTAATGTAAGTGTATTCTCTCGATAAGATATTATACAAATATCAACGCTCCATTCATCCCAAAAAAAAAAAAAAGTACTAATTTGATGTTTGCTCTCTCTCTCATTTAAATTTTAGCCAAACATAATTTGCTACTCTCAAAAAGTACCTTTTCGGAAAACACTCGTAACATAAAGTACTTTAGTCTTCCTCCATTGTACTAATCTATGTGATTCCCAACATGAATAAAAAATTATCAGCAGTGGCAGTGACATATCACAAATTATTCTTATAGATAGCTGCCATTAATTATTGACATGTCAATGTGTCATGCAGCTTTATTAGATGCAAGTTTGACCCAGCATCTGCCAAAGAGATGACTCAGTTGGAATATCACAATTTTCTGAAGAACCTTGTAATGTAAAGGATGGATGACGTCTGTGCCCAAGAAGGCTTTACCCCCTCTTTGCAAATAGCCTAGTAAATGGCGTTTTAAGTTCCGTATATAGCTTGAGATAACATAACAAGTTAGTAGTATATACGACCAACAGTTTATGCCCCTAAAAGAAAGATTTTGTAGTCATAAATGAAAATATATATTCAGAGCTTAGAACAACAAACAGTTACTAGTTCTACTATCTATATCTAATATAAGAGACAGTTAGCTGGAAGACATGTCTGCTTGCTGAACAAGGGTAAAATTGGAATTTTCTCTTTAACATGTTGTGCTTAATAGTTACTTTCGTGATGTAATTATGATACCCTCCAATAGGAAATAATTTGAAGTTCTCTATGCGGCGCATCACCTTAGGGCATCTCCAACCTTTACCCCATTTTTAGTCCCCAAAATGGGGATTTCCCTATTTTGGGGACAACTTACTCCAATAATTCCCCCATTTTTTCTCCACACTTTTTTATATTCTTCTTTCTCTTCTATATTATATTATTATCTTTTATTTCAATTTCATTTTTAATTTTTATTAAATAAATTCCATCTTTTATATTTTATTAATTTGTAATTTTCATTAAAATAATTTCATATAATTTTAAATAATATAATTTGTAAGCAATTATTATAGATTAACTAATAATTCAAATAAAAGTGAAATCATTGCAACATCTAATATTTTATATTCGCACCTTTCAATTTTAGCAACATCTAATATTTTATATTTGCAGCATTTATTTTTTGAGATAATTATATATTTTTTGTACAATTATAAATTATAATAAAATTAACTTATAATTTTACATAAAAATAATAAATGCACAAAATTAATTTATCAAAATTATACACCAAAGTTAAGATGTAAAATTAATATTATAAAGACATTATATAAACATAATTAGGTATATATAAAGAGATAAATTAAAAGATTAAATAATAAAATAATAATAATAATAAAGTGATGAATAGTAATAGGGGAGATTAATAGTGTACCCCATATTTGAGGGAACACTATTCATCCCCCATTTTGGAAAAAAAAATGGGGAAAGGTTGGAGCTAAATTTACCAAAAAATTTCCCCCATTATTGTGAAAACGCTTTTTGCAACTTGTGGACCTCATTGATCTATTCTGACACACCAGCACATCAATGTTCTTCATTTGTGTTAGAATATGTGACTGCCACATTTTTGTAAGATAGTTTATAGTATTTGTTAATAGCCAAAAAATTAAAATAAAAAAATATTACTTCATGAGATATTTCTTTCGTGAGCAAATTTGTTTGCCAGAACATTTTCTTTACGTATATTGAAACTGCACTCCTTTTGCCAACTATTCGCGTATATCGCAATATTGCACTCCTTTTATATATATATGCATAATTGTAAGGATAACATACTGCATCAGATTAAATCTCAATATTATAGTTTTATTACAAGTTAATTTATTTAAAGGTATAACTTATATATATGCATAATTGTAAGGATAACATAGTGCATCAGATTAAATCTCAATATTATAGTTTTACAAAGCCAGATTAACTTCAAAATATGTAACAAAACTTATACAAATTTACGTCGCATTTATTTAGGGAAAACTGATGGAGTTATAAAGATTAAAAAGGAAATAAAAAAAGGTTAAAATGTAGTAAGTGTTCAATTTAAAACGAAATTTACTTTTATGGGTTATTCTCATTAGTTTAAAATACAACACAAACTCCTAAATATGCTCTAAAGACTAACTTTTAGTTAGATTATCTAATATGGTAAATGATTGCAAGTAAAGATAAAGAAATTACGAAGAAATAAAATTTTATCCAACAAAATTACATGACCAAGCCGACAAATGAGGTGAGAACTTGCATGGTTAGTTACTTGATTAATATTATTGAAGTGTAGATGCTTGGATATTATGCGAAATTATTGTAGTGCTTTTAGACCAAATTTTTTGTAACTTGCAGTATATAAATAGCAAATGTATCGTAGCTTTACAATCTTATAATTTTAAACTTTTAATTGGTTTTAATTGAAGCATAGACGATTGGTAGATACTCTTGGTAACTTTGTATTTTTTTTATAAGGTTATCCAACTATCTATGCAGATTGATCTTGTTACTCTTTTACGCTCTAAAGTTTAAATTTACAGCATATAAAATGTGAATAGTGTAACCCTAAATTCTCTTATTCTTATAATTCTTTCGATATTCTTTGTACCCCTTGTGGTTCATTTTTTAATCATGACCTGGTAAATATTTGACTTTTGATTCAACAATTCTGTATTAGGGTAAGTATATATATTGAAGAGTTGATAACTCAGGAAGAAGTTTAAAATTCAGAACGACTTGAAAAATTTCCGTGTAGTAAAATATTTTTCTTTTAATGATAAGTCAAGTTCAAAATATAATTTAGGATATTTAGAAAAATACTTGACATAATTTTTGTCACAAATTCTGACGGAGCATCAGAATTTTTCAATATTATGGTTAAATTGGTGATCGTCAGAATTTTTGGTGCTTCAATTTCTGAAAGTCATTAGAACCATACGTAAAATTCTGGCGCCAGCCTATTTTCACGAAATATTTTGTTACAATGAATCAAAATATAATCGATGGTTTAGAAAACGTTCATCAAACGTAATTTCTTGCTAATAGTAAGAGATGAAAACACACGCATTTGCGAAAAAATATCATGGTATAGCCAGTTTTCACACTGGTCAATGAAAAATAGCCAGCGTTTATCAAGTCAATGAAAAATAGCCACTATTTTGCTGCAACAGGGACCGGTCCAGTATAATATACGGGAGTTCTGGTGCATTTATGTACGAACTCCAGCATATTATGCTGGACCGGTATACTTTGCTAACTCCTGTAAAATTTGCGGGAGACTGGAGCATCAGTGCTCCAAACTCCAGTATATTATACTGGACAAGTATACTTGCTGGAACTCCTGTAAAATTTGCGGGGAAATTTGCGGGAGTTCCAGCATAGTTATCCTGGAACTCCCGTAAAATTTACGGGAGTTTAAGCATACTTATGCTGGAACTCCCGTAAAATTTGCGGGCGTATTTTTCCGGATTTTGAACAGTGTTTTCGCTCAGATTTAAAGTGGCTAAATTTCGATGACTCTTGAAACTTGGCTATTTTTCAACGACCAGTGGTAAATCTGGCTATTTTTGAATTTCTCCCCGCATTTGCATATTGGGCCCCCGATAGCACGGGTCATCCATCATCTAGATAGTAAAAGATGCATGAGTTTTTCCCCTCGTTTCTTTTTTTGCTCCATTTTTCCTTACATCTTAAATCTTTTCCTATTTCTACCTGCTGCAATGGTATTTGATGAACCTTTTGCACATTTTGAGTCCATGTGTTACACTTTTTTGAAATTGGACTTAATCGTTCTAGTAGTAGATATAAAGAAAGCATACATGTTGGCAGGCTTGGGTTTTGGCAATGGATTTCACAAGTACACTGTTCTCTTAGTTAATTAATGGTGGCACAAATGATTTTCCCTCCCAATGGAATCATCTGTCTCCTTTCTTACTCATCCTGTACGTCGATTACTTGTAATCTTTGGGGGAGTAATTTATCCCAAAATATACAAGAAAACTTGTTAAATACTAAGTTACAAAAGCTTTCAGCAAATTATTTTGAACTCCCATTAAGTGCAAAACATAAAATTTGACCGTCATATGGAATGGGATGATTGGAAAATGTGGAATGAAAAAACCAATACTACCTTTTTCACTATATTCACTACCTTAGAGTTACTTAACCTGAAAAAGGTTAAAATAAATGTTAAGCTACCGGTTCTGCTACAGATCAGAGGCAACTAAAATGTAGTTGAACCCTACCCTTCCTATCATTTTCTCCCCACAACTTTTCATATAATCTCAAAGTTTAAACTTTACGCAACAAAGTTTATGTTATAATTCATAAGAGTCGATCAGTCGAAGCTCACATTGTTGTATATTACTAGGATAATTGAATCAACAGAAAATGAGACGAATAAAACGCTCGCACAAGTAAATGTATAAACTCATAGAATTCATTCGCTTTGTCTTGATATTCGGCAGCAAATGTGACATGTAATGTACAAGTTTAACCTCGTCCAAATATCCACTAGCTCGTACCAGAGGTAGGTTTCCTCCCTCGTGCTTGAGTGAGAGTGTGTGCATTTAGTTTCGTGCTTAATTACGCATGATATTATGTTATATGCAAAGAAAATGAACTATGAACTCTTTACCTCATTATTGGGCTGTTCTCTTCATCTCCGAGTGCTCTTCATTCTCTTTTGGAAGTACTAAGAGCTTGATTGGCCAAGCTTTTAGGAGGTCAAAAATACTTCTTTCTTTTTTTAAATCGAAAAAGGTATTTTTTTTTTTTTTGGAAATTTAAGGTGCTTGACCATGGCAGGGAAGTGTTTTTGAGCACCAGCAGCAGTACTTTTCTGCTTTTGGGAGGAAGCTACAAATTCTAGCTTCTTCCAAGAAGCAGACGCCTTAATTTCTTAAAAAATTGGAAAAAAAAGTCATCTACAAATATAAAATATAAAAAATTAAAAGAGTGATGTCGTAGCTATCGACATGTATAATCAATTAATAATTGTGTAGAAAGAATTCCGATACTAATTTTAAAACTAGGTTATTTATCCAGAAAAAACAAAAAAAAAAGAGTGGAATAAAGTGATAAAATTTTAATGGAAAAATTTTACTGAGAAAACAATTAAAAAAACTAAGATAAACGGTATAATTATAAGGAAAAAGTGACAGACGTTTTGAACGAACAGATTTTAATTTAAAAAATAAAATCTAAAATTTCTTAGAAAACTGCAAAGAAAAAAAATCAATTAATATTAATTAAAAATGAAAAGAATCAAAAAGCGTAACATGGTAACTCTTGGTAATCATAATTGATTACTGATTGTGTAGAAAGTATCCCAATATAAATTTTAAGACTCGGAAGAAAAAATTTATGATGAAAAATAATAATGAGAAAGGGAAAAAAGTGACAAAATATTTTGGACGGAGAGATTATAGTGGAAAGAATAAAATTAAGAAAAATAAAAAGGCACACTAAAAATAAAAAAATAAGATAAAAACTAAAGTAAAAAAAGAGTGCGGTTTCTACTTGAAAGAACAAAAAAAAAAGTAAACAGAGAAAATAACCACAAAAAAATGAATAGGTGTGCCTAATTTTATTAGGAAGGGGAAAAAATAAAGTAAAAATA